TTATTATTATTATTATTATTATTATTATTATTATTATTATTATTATTATTATTATTATTATTATTATTATTATTATTATTATTATTATTATTATTATTATTATTATTATTATCTATTATTATTATTATTATTATTATTACTATTATTATTATTATTATTATTATTATTATTATTATTATTATTATTATTATTATTATTATTATTATTATTATTATTATTATTATTATTATTATTGCTATCATACTTGAAAATCACGATTTGTATTAAAAAAAACTTCCAAATTTTACATCATTTCATTTGAATTTATTTTAAGAAAACTATTTCCGAATGAATGATTATGTGGAGTAAATTATAATATGCTAATGTAATCTATTTATTTTATTATATATTGAATAAAATTTCTTATCAATATTGCCAATTTTAATTAAGTATCGTTACTATGAGCATATTATAATTCATGTAAAACATATTTACAATATCACTGTTAAAAATTTATCAAGAACTCTCAGAACATCCATTCCGGTATCTTATAATTAGCTTCTTACAAAAAATGCCGAAAACCAGTTAAAGTTATCATTTCGGTTTCCTTTAGAAGTGAGCAAAAAAAAGAATGACAATTAAAACATAAATCAAAAATTCGTGATTTCCTTTTTTCTTGACTTTTTCATATTTGCTCAACATTTTTTAAATTCAAAAAAAAATTCCAATCTTTAAATTCATGATAAATTTCTATCCGAAAACAATATATCTAACATGTGTTCATACATACATGCATGCATGCATGCATGCATGCAAGAGAAATGAGCAAGTGTTATTCGTAAAGTAAATTTTCAGAAGTAAATTCGATGAAAAAATGTGGATATTTCAAAAAATAATCCTTTTTTTCTTCCAAAAAGCTTTTGGCCTTTTTAAATTTTGAATCGTTCTTGCTAGTTTGCTTCGTTTTAAAGATTTTATTCATTTTTCAAAAACTTTCCTTTTTCTTTCCGCAATTTTATAACCATTTCCAGTCATTTGTCTTTTTCTTCAATTCCAAAAAAATTTTTTTTTCTTTTTTAAATGACAACAAAAAGATGGATGAAATAATTGTTGGATCATTTTACTGATTTCCAGCATTTTCTATATCATCATATCAATTTCTTTTTGAAAAATATTTCAGAATTTTATTTCGAAAAAAAAACAAACCTTTCAATTTATGCAAATTTCTTTCAAAACAATGTATTTTTTAATTATTCAGTGATTCGTTTATTTCTTTTTTATTTATTTAAATTTTAATGCATTCCTTAGTCTATCAAATAATTTTTATAGTTTTCATTTTTGTCAGTTGATAAAAGGAATGAAATTAAATCAAGTAATCAATTGATAAAAGAAAATCATTATTATCATCATTATCACCATTATCAACATAGCATAATTTTACTTTAGCAATCCGTTGAAAAGCCATCAATCATCGATTCATGTATAAAAAAAAAGAAAATATAAAAGAATTGAATTTCAAAAATTTAAAAGAATTCATTTCAATGCAAGAATTCATATATGATATGAAGAATCAATTTATGCAAATTTATCGATTTATGACTTGAAGGAATCAAATTTATGCAAATTCTAATTTCCTCAAATATTTATTTAAGCATTCTTTAAACAAATAATTTATTTCTTTGTTCATTTATTTGTTAAAATGTGCGAAATAATCTTTTTGAAATTAATCTTTAACGAAATTCTTTTTAACCCATACCATGCTATACTTTATTAATTAATTTAATTATATTTAACCTTATGACATTTTATATATTCATTGCCACATTTGAGAAGTACCAATATAGTTTTATTTTTTTGATTATTCCGCCTTACCTCAGATACATAGTGATGAAGAAATGGTCAAATGAGAGGGAATTTTTAAATACTAATATGGTCACAAGAAGCTGAATCAAAAGGTCAATAGATATCAAAAGGTCAAAATAATATTTAATCAATAATTAAAATGCATTAATTTCACAGATGGGCTGATAGATTTCCATATTACTAGCCTATTAATAATTATATTTATAAAATGTTTATATCAAATGTCTCAATAATGTGAGGCATTACTTTTTCATTTATACTAATATCTTAAGTAAGGACAAAATGTGTCCTGCAAAATCAAAAATTTATATTTTCATCAATTTCCTTTTTGTGATACATTTTGAGTTTTTATATATTTGATTTTTAATCATTGAAATACTTGCAATTATGAGTACTTGTAAAATTGTTGAAATTTATATTGTTAACATTTGCATATTGGTATGCAAATTAAAATGTATGCAGAACAGATTTGATGTAATATGATTGATAGTAATGGATTGTAAAGTTATCATTCATCATGATTTGTCACTATTTATAGAATCGTTTAGCGTTTTAATATGTAAATAAGGATGTGCTTTATTTAGATTAGAATTGCTGCCAAGAAACTGATTTCAAAATGAAATAAATATCGATATTATTACATTGAAGAATTTATAGTACTATCATTATTATTATTATTATTATTATTATTATTATTATTATTA